ACCCCTCAGCCTGGTAATGCAGCCCCTCAACTTCTCTTCCCATGTAAAAGAAGGAAAAAACCTCTAAAAGCACAAGACTCTGGGTGAACTCAAGACACTGATAGTTTTACTTGAACAAATGTTGCTGCAATGTTGAAAAGTCTACTGGTGCTTCCATTACAGTGTGGGATGGGCATGAGGAAACCTGTGCTTATGCTGCTGCTGTGCTATCACAGAGGCTGACAGCCAGACTGAAATTACCAACAAAGGTGGGCTTGAACAAACTACAGTTGCGGTACTGAAGGAGATTGTGCATGGGGATACATTTCCCCCTGTCAGTTCTGCTGAAGGGTGATGACCTGCTACAACAGGACCGCAGCAAACAGCTGGGAAGAAGTAACATAGCATCTGAGCTGTTCACTAAGAAAAGCTGAATGAGAACCCTTAAATCAGTCACAGCTTCTCATAGTTTCATTTTTCGATTTGGTCAGTTGAAAAAAATATTTTATATTTTTAGTTTTTATATGAAGTAATATTTTCCTCGATTTCTACAGTACTCTCATCATTAGCCTCTTCTACCAGTGTTAATTGAAAATAATTAAAAACATTACATGATTCTAAACCAGCTCTTGTCAGAAATAAAGTTAATTTTTTACTCTTTCTTCCAGGCACTACTTATCAATGGAGAACACTTATTTACATTTTTCTAGTTGTCTTACAAATTCACAGAGCTTTAACTCCAGCATGAGTTTTTGCTCTCTGGTTAATTTCTCCCTATGCATATTTTTTAGTGCATTTTATTGCTAATACCATGTGTGATTCAGTGGTTACTCAGCACCAGATACTCTGACAGTTTTGATTCATTTAGCATCTGAATTTTAACTCTACAACATTCACCACAATCCTCTGTGACCAACAACCCAGCTGGATAAGAACCTTATAAAATACAGTTCCCACATTTTTCACTTTATACTATTCACATTCATTGACAAACTTTCTGAAAACTATCACTGTGCAAGAGTAAAAGGGAAACTAGGATTTCACTCACCAGTCTTCTGACTTACCTTTGACATATTGCAGTACATGGGACTTTTTTTAAATTTCAGGTGGCATGGACTTGAGGTTTTGGGGGGTGGAAGTGTAAGCTCTGTTGACAGAAACTGTGGAAATCCAAGGGCTCATGAATTGCTGCATGGTAGCAACTGAGATGCTCCCAGACAGGCACTGATATATTACTATTGGTTTCTTGTCAAATGTGTTCCCCCCAGTGTAATTATGCACAGAACATGAATACATTAAACCCTTTTCAACTACTACACTTTGCCTCCTCAGCTCTTACAAACAGACCTGCAAAAAACATGCCAACATTTTTTCCTCACTTTCAAAAACCCCAGTATCTTTGCCTCCTACCTTTAAAGAAAATCAATATTTGGCAGTTGTCTTATGTTTTTGCCGTGGTTCTGATTTCCCTCTGTTTTTGGCACTGCCAACACTCTCTGCAATATGCTGCAGTGCCCTTAGTTACATTTTGGAACAGCCTTGCTAGAAATGCCAGTTCACCGAGGATTGAATTAGCATGCCTCATCTACACTGTGGACAGTTATGAGTTTTGTGCCTTTCCTAGAATTTTGTTGCAGATATTTCTTTTTAGACGGGTTATACCCATATGTAGAATGTCCCTGTTCTTTGACATGCTTCCATTTTTTGTTTTGCTCTTACATACTTTTGCTTAAATATTGCTGATGGTGCAAAAAAAACTGCATTTGTTGACTGACCAGGCGTATCGTTATGGTTATTATTTTAGTTCAGTTTCATGTTGCATTATTACTAAGTGTATTTGCCATATACAGGTTGGCTATCTGTGTTCTTTGGCTGAGTATCAATCATTTTCAGAGCCTGAAACTGGATTCTGAGCCTCCAGCTACCCAGATAAAAATAGGAACTGTAATTTGTCACAGGTGTTTGCTGGAGCAATTCCAGCAATGGACACAACACTAAAAATTGCAGAATAACATTAATTTATATGACATAGTGGGAACTCCCTCAGTCACTATCTGGGATCTGTTTCTAGAGTCCTACGATTTGTGACCCTGTGCAACCTTCCATGCTAATTTCTAGGCATCGCTGTTGTAAATATATCTTTATCTCCACTTGAGAATTTTGAAATCCAGTTACAATCAATACTTAATCCTTCCTCCCATTGTGGATTTTATAGTAGGAGCCTTAGACCAGGTGACACAGAATCATGGATTTGCAGAATCAGGTAGACCAGAAGTGGATGACACGCCACTCATCCACCCTGCTCAAGGCAGGACTAATCAGATCAGGTTCCTCATATTTGTGTCCAGTTGAGTCTTGAACATGTCCAAGGATGAAGTGTTTTTCCCATACTGTCTCTGGGTCTCTTCCAGTACTGAAACAAACTCACAGTAAAAACCCCTCAAATTGTATCTAAACGTTCCCCCTTGTAGCCACTGCCTCTCATCCAGTTGCTGTGCATCTTCAAGAATAGTCTGGCTCTGTCTCCTTTATGTCTTCTGATCAAGTAATTGCAGACACAAAATTTAGCTGCAGATTTTCCCCCAGATCTCTGTTTTCCAGGCTAAACAGGTCCATCACCCAGCGCCTTTCCTCATAGGTCATGTGCCTTAGCTCCAGAGCAGCTTTCTGGCCTCCTCAGGAGTCAATCCAGTATGTACAAGTCTTTTATTTATTTGAGACCCCCAAAGTGGGCACGCTATTCCAGGCACAGTCTCACATGTGACAAATACAGAAGAAGGGGTCAACTCTCTGGATCTGCTGACTGCAGATCTCCCTAATACAATACCCAGGATGCTGTTGGTTTTCCCAGCCACAAGGTCACATTGCTGGCTCAGCTTCTTCTCATCCAGGATTGCCAGGTCCTTTTCAGAAAGCTGTTTCCCAGTCAGCCAACCTTCATTCTGTATTGTTGCATTAGTTTATTCCATCCCAGGCGCAAGGCTTTGTATTTGCTTTTGTTGAACATCGTGAAATTCCTATCAGCCCATTTCTCCATGCTCTCAAAGTCCCTCTGAATCGCAGAGACTGCTTCCCCCAGTTAGGTCTCATCTGCACACTTGTGGAGAATGCACTTTCTCTCATCAGCCAGGTCATCAATGAGGTGATTAAACACTGCTGTCCCAGTAGGGCTTCCTGAGGGACACCAGTAGCTAATGGCCATCATACAGTTGACTTTGTGTCACTGACCACAACCTGCTGAGCCCAATATTACAGCCAATTTTCCACTCACCTTATCATCCCTTTTTCTAGCCCATATCTCACCAGTTTGCTGATAAGAAGCCAACAGGAGATTGTGACAAAGCTTGCCAAAGTCAAAGTATGCAACACACATTTCCCTCCTCTTGCACACAACATTATCATAGAAAAGAAATTAGGTTGGTCAGGCATGGTTTGCCCTTGATATATCTATGCTGACCGCTTACAGTCACCTTCTTGTCCTTCATATGTTTAGCAAGAGCTTGCAGGAGGATTTCCTTCATAACTGTCTCAGGAACTGAGGTGAGGCTAACCAGCCTGGAGTAACACAGATGCTCCTCCTGAGTATGGGTGCAATTCTGCCTTTTTGTAGTTATTGGGAATCTCCCTGCTTTGAAACTGTCTTGACTTTTCAAAAATGTAACCAGCATCACAGTGACATTACCCAGATCCTCCAGCACCCTTGCATGCATCCCATGTGAATGTCTAAGTGGGTTAAGTACTCCCTGATTCCATCTTCTCCTACTGTGGGTACTACATCATGCCTGCAAACTGCTAGAAGGCTTGCGGAGCTGGAGGGCCAAGGGGCAGACTTGCCAAGGAAAATTGAGGAAAAAACGCATCAAGTACCTGAGATCTTTTCCATATCCCTTGTCATAGGATTCCCTGTTCCACTGAGCAATGTCCATTCTCCTTGTTCTACATTCTCATTGGTCTTTCTGCTACTGCTGCACTTAAAGAAACCTCTGTTATTGCTTTTCTCCTCCCTTGCTACTTTAAACTGGACTTGCACATTGGCTTTCCTGACTGTATTCCTATACACTTGAACAGCGTCTGTTCATTCCTCCCAAGCAGTCTGTCCCTGCTTCCACCTGCTGTGTACTTCTTGTGTTTGAGCTCAGGCAGGAGCTCCATGTTCATCCATGCTGGCCTTGTGCCACCCTTGCTCAACTTTCTGAACATTGTGCGCTGTTCTTGTGTTCTGAGGATGCTGTCTTTGAAGATCAGCCAGCTCTCCTGGGGCCTTTTGCCCTGCAGCACAATTTTCCATGAACAGACTCCCTGAACAGACCTAAATCTGGTCTTCCGAAGCCCAGAGCTGCATTTCAGCTATTTATTTTGCTCACTTCTCTTAGGGTCCTAAACTCCACAGTCTCACAGTTGCTGCTGTCAACATTGCCCTTGACCTCTAGGCCCAACATCCCTTCATTGATTCACTGGTCAACTGCATCAAGCAAAAGTTCTCAATGTAGTCCACAAATCCAATGGATTGTTTGTGCCATATTTTCCTTCCAGCAGATACTGTCGCTGTCAGAGTCATCTGTAACCACCCTTGCCTCTAATTCTGAGGCTTTCCTCAGCAGCCCAAAGAAGGACTGATCTACCTTCTCTTCTTGACCAAGTCATCTGTAGGGATATCTTCTACAACACTGCCTGTGCAGGTCCATCCCCTGATCCTTACTCTTGTGGCGACAAAGTTCAGCTGGTCTGGGAGCAGATGTGGGAGCTTTTGTGGCATTGGGTGGTAAATGGCAGGACATTAGCATGGCATCATGTGCCAGAGCACTTCATTGGGAACCTGTCAGTATTATCAGCACTTCATCAATGACTGATGCTGGCAGACACCAGCTGAGATGGGAAGCAGAGGCCACAAAGTGAAATTTGTACTGGCAGAACTCAGTTTCACATCGCAACACCCAAATTTAAGTGGTGGTTATATAAGGAGTCTGATCTTGAGGTATCGACACAAGTTTTATCTGCAATGTGATGCATCTCATTTCTAGGTAAGGCAGCTGAAAAAAGAGCCGTGGAAACAGGTTACATTTTATCAGTGAAAAAAAGGGAAAGAACCCTCCAGCTGGAAGATGATAAGTAATAAAATGCTCACTGTAGAGCTGTAAGCATTTGAGAACCTCTAAGAGCCAGCTACAGAGAGGCTTTCTGGAAAAAGTCCCATGAGAGGTGAGTACCTCTACAAAGCATAAAGTTTGTGCTGAGCTGGGGGCGATCCAAAGCCCCCAAGGATGAGCTGGTTTGGTATAACACACACTGCTATAGCAACGTAACTGGAGCCATTCAAGATGATTCAGGAATTTAAGTCTATACATAGACCACTGCAGAGAGCTTTAAAGTCTAATGAAACAAAAAAACCCAACCTTTTACTAGCAATCATTAATATGGATCTAAATTTCGTTTCTGAAGCTCGGTGGCATTTAAATGTACAGGTATTGTAAGACAATATATGTATTGCTATGTTGCACTATCTTTTATTGCAGGAGAAACTAATTCCCATGTTTTAAAATTTCTTTTAAAACTATTTACATTCCCCAGAATGTTAAACAATAATATTACATTTCAGATAATATTTTTCTTTCAAGTAAATGCCATAGGCCAAAATACAACACTTGTTTTCTCTCGGAGGTCTGTCAAGATTTTATGGGTCAGATATAAATTTTTTGATTTTTTGCTTTTTTCCTTTCTGCTCTAAATGTGTATGTGTATTTGCTTTTCCTTCAGACATCTCCTTGTTACACAAGTCAGAAAAAAACTTGGCAAGCTGGTGTTTCTTGTTATCTTTCTGTTTTAGTCTCTCTTCCTTCTTTATTTATTTTATTTTAGTTGTTTATGGGGGCTCTCTTTAACTCTTACAGTCCCTGGTAAAACTCCAATTACCTGCCCAGCTCCTTGAACTTTACTTCTGCTTGCTGTTTGCTTCAACTAAAAAGCCAGCTGCTTTCTCCTGAGATTATTTCTCTAACCCCAGGAAATCTACCCTCAACTTACCAAAGGTGATAAATGCTTCTCACTCTGCCTCTATGTTGCTATCTAGAAGAACTATTCCTGGACATTCCTATAAACCTGCTGGTCTTGTTCTCATCTTCTGTCAGCAGGGCTGAATTCAGGCTTTTCCCCATCTTTTTCCTTCATTATTCAGGACTTGGCTGACTGTTCACTTGTGCTCCCTATTTCAGTTTAAGGTTCTGATTGTTCAGATATTTTGGAAGTCAGTACACTGACCCTACAGTTCATAATTTCTCCGGCAAACTTGGGTCATACATACATGTGCACAGAATGTAGCTCTTTAAAATAAAGAAGTGTTTTTACATAAAAGGAAGTATGTTTTTAGGTACATTGATGTATCTGTTATAACAACAGAAATGGTTCTCCTTATCACAAAAGGTAGCTAGTGCCTTTTCCACTGGAATCCACAGTAATATTATTGATGTTAATTAATATTATTTCTAAAAGACACTTTTGCAAAATTTCATGATCCAGTGAATGACAGTTACTACAAGCAACTGTAAAATATTAAGCTCTTTCACAAAAGCCCATACTAATACCAAATGACACTCCATCTACTGTATGTACTATAAAATCACCCTTTGTGATGGTGGATAATAGCAGGGTTTTACTGTGCAGGTGGTTTATGTTGTCAACAAGAACTCACAATAAAAACACAGCATTAAGATCAGGCTGACATTAGGAATGAATGTAGATTGTCAGGTACAATCTGGCAGCTAACTTAAATCACAAAATCGATTGAAACACATTTCTCCTTGCATGTTTTTTGAGTATTTATATCCTATTATGTTCCTTGATCTGCTGAACCCCACTTTATTTTCTCATTCTGGGGTTTCAAAAATGGTCTTTGCAAGAAGGGCGTCAGAGGAGCATGTCCTAATTCAGGAAAATCACTCTCCTCCCTCCCAAAACTAAAGGGTCTTGGGGAAGACCATTCTGAGATCTTGCTGCTGTAAAGAACAGCAATATTAGCTTTCCATTCCTGTCTGGAGGGTGTATGACTGATGTCTAGGAAGACCCTGGCTAACTTGCACAGCTGTAGGTAAAGAGACCCAAGTGATACCTTACCATAGTTTACAGAAGCTTCAGCTTTCACTTCAGTTTCAGCTTTCACTTCAGCTAAATTCCAATTTTGTAATTTTTTTTTTTAATGTTTTGTGCTGGTTTGTTTTACTTATGGAGCTGTTTATGTAAATGTGTAAGCTATTATTCAATATTGCTTCATACTGAAAAAACACACCAAAAAAGCCAGCTTGATTTATCTTCCATTATGAATGTACCACATTCTTCCTATAGTATCTCTCTCCAAAAATCACACAGCCTGGAACTGTTTCTGATAGTTTTACTCAGAGTTCTGTGCCTCCTTACAGATGAGAAAGCCCCATTTATTTCAATGATGCCACCCCTGGGTAGAAATGCACTCAGTATAAATTAAGCCATCCAAAACCTGGGTCAGTGACACTGTTAATTATTTATGGCAGGCTTTCGGTGCATCCTTCTCATAGAAACAATCTCTAACAACATCAACTTAGGACTTTATGGAAAATTTTCAGCATGTATCACAGGCACTTTCAGAACACCTGTAGAAAAAGGTATGAGGCTATTAAAACAGTTCTTTGCTCCAAAGACAGAAAATACATAGTGCCCACCCCAACTCATACAAGCACAGGTGATTAAGCTGACCAAATTATGTTCTCATGTATTTCAGTGAAATCCTAATAATTTCACTCATTTCAGGAGGCTTTCTCTAGTGTCAAATATTGTAGAGGAGAATCTAAGCAGTATGTATGCATGAGAGATACAAATTCATTCGTGTCAGAAAATTACTTTAGTGTAGTGCCTGAAAATGACTTCCTCACTTGTTAAGCCTGCATTGCCAGGAGGAAGATATTTACTTTAAACAAAACCCAAACTTGGAGGTGAAGATTTCTCATGATCAATCTTGTCAGCTTGAAAGACATCCTTTTTTAGTTTCCTTCCTCCCACCACATGCCCACTATACACAAGTCTCACAGATTAGAAAATATTGCTTTGTAACATGGATTCATGACAAGTTTTTTTCATCCAAATTAACCTTTGCAAGCTCCATTACTTTCTTGTCAACTTTCTGGTTACTGTCATCATCAGATTTCTGAAGGTTTACTTATATTTGAACAATACAAAACTGCAACAGGCACTTAATCACTCTAGTCAGAGCTCTGGAAGAATGCTGTCATGAATATTGAGTGGGGACATGCTGGTATATGTTACAAAATGGTAATGACAGAGGTTTCTTTCTGCAGCTGTCCAGGCTTGTTGCCTCATAGGGAGAAGAAGCACTCTCTCTCCTTATATCCACTTGTATCACAATATGAAGGCAAACTGCTCTAGAAAGACTTTTAACAGGGTTTTAAGCAAGAAATCCTGTTTGTAGAATATGTAAGCTAAGGACGAGAAATTCTGCATTAAACATCTAAATAGGTCCTTCAACAAGCTAGAACCGAGCAAGTAATTTAGTATTTTCTTTGGAGAAAGGAAGTAAATATTTTTTTTCCTCTCAAGTTCTTCAAATGCAGATTGAATATGAGCCTGAGGACAGGGAGATGGTCAGCTGCCTCTGAAAAGCCAGGAAAAGCTGTTAAGATGAACTAGGAGCTGGATTCTGAGAAGGCCTGGTTTCATGATGAAAGGAAGGCTTCAACTGCCAGCAGTCCAAAAGTCTGACTTACAGGAAAACACACATTTGAATTTCTCTCCACCAGTCAAGTTTTTGCTCTTGAAATAAGGTATGTTAATGATTATTGTATGAATTAAACAAGCAATGGTATCCCAGGAGCTTAGAAAGCTTAACTGTTGGTCATGTTATAGGGTTACACTTAAAAGAGCTGCAAGGTTAATCTGAAGTGATAAGAACACGTTTGATGTCTTATTCAAAAAAATTAACAAAGTGGGTTCCAAGCATTTCTAGAGGTGTGAACCACAACTCTGATAATATTGTTGATTGCCATAACATATCTGAGATATCTCCAACATACAGGTTACTCTATGTAAAATTTCCAAGGACAATGATTGTCAAGAAGAAAGACACAAATTTAGTTAGTCTTGCTTGTGCTTTAGCTTCTCTGGTACCTCTTTCTTCAGATAAAGGGAAAGGTATAACTGTGTGTCTGCACAGTCTGATGAAACATCTAAGCACTTTGATGTGAAAACTTTGGCTTGTTTAAAATCACACTGAAAACAGCTACTGTTAATGTGTGTAAGACATTTATTGTAAATGTAGTGTCTATTGTGGAAAGATGTCCTTTTCAAAAAATGCTAGTTCTGACCATGAAAGCAAAAGGCAATATACAGTTTGTGAGTTTGCTACAGTAAAGGGGATATCTGAAATTGTAAGCAATTTCTCTTTTTTGTTAACCATCTTTTATTTCACCAGAAATTAAATCAGTGGATATGTTCACCACATCTCCATGAAAATTCCTTTCAAACTTTAACTTTACATCTCTCTGCTTAGATTTATTTCAGATAATCACAGCATTTTTAGATACTGTGCTTGAAGATTATTTTGTAAAACTGCTGGTTTTGTCAATCAATCCATAATATTTTTTCTGACTTTCTCAAATGCCAAACACATTTGAACTCCTACATTTTCTTTAAAATACAGGTTTTTAAGCAATGGTAAAAATAATTACTGTCATCTCACGCAGCTCAGTAACTGCATAAAAATAAATTCTATTTTTTACATTGCTTAACTTACACTTGCATCAGCCACAAACAGTGTTTTCCTAGGTACTGAAAGTAGAGACTAGAGGTTCTTCTGGCCATACCAGCTGAGACATTCGCTTATTCTCAAGAGATTCCATGCACAAAGCTTATTCCTGCACCCTAATGAAAGGCTTGGTTACACATTCAAACTGAATGTGGTATGGTTCTCAGAAAGGGTAACAAATGGAGAGTTTAAAGAGCTCCCTCCCTGACAAAATCTCAGTAGAAGTTTCTGGGCTCAGGGACCACAGTCCTACCAAAGCACAAGGCAGTACCCAGCTGTTGCTCCAGCCCTGAGGCCAGGCACCATCATGCAGAGGGAGATTTTCAAATGATTGATGGCGAGTGGAGCTTCAGTGCCTAATTGATGCTTATAACTTTGGGGAAAAAAATCCCCAGCTTTCAGTATCTTTGACAACTGGGCTCAATTTTCTTTGCTCACAACAACCCCAAAAATGCTGCTAGGTGCATCTGAAGGAATCCTGTCTGGCAGGAATGATGCATAGGCACCTCATTCCCTCAGTGTGCCCGCAATGATCCAGTTCGACCCATTGAAAATCCACACTAAAGGCTGTAATGTCCTGCTAATGAATTGTTCTCTACAGAACATTTTCCTATCCCTTATTGCTTAAAGTGACCACCTCTTTGCTGATCTGCAAAAACTACTCTGCTCCGTATCAGGGCTGGATACCTTTGGAAGCTGTGCCTGTTGAAATCCTTCTGAGGATCAATTACTCCCAAGAGAATTAATTCAGGATCTGATCCCACCACGTCCTGCATGCCCTTGGCTCCCAACTGTGGAGATGCTCAGTGACAGGTAGAATAAAAAGACCTCAAGGCCTGCTCCTTTGGTCTTGCAAAAATCAACTGCAGAACTTCAAATGTCTTGTGCCGGCAAAGGATCAGAGTCTTCCTGGGAAGAAGAGGTTACAAAAGAGCAAATCTGTGTTATCTTTGCACAAAAGATTGCTCGGTGCCACTGCGTAATGCGAAAACTCACCAGAAATTTTCTTCAGGCTTACACACAAAATAATTTTACACAGAGAATACTATAATAATGGCTAGTAGTGTATCTCCAAAATACCATGTAAAATACATAAGGCTGAGATCAATGGTGACAAAAACCACGGAAATGACAGCTTTTCAGTTCAAACAAAGCACAGTGTTAAAATTCTGGTGGGTGCATTTGGAAACAAAAATGGTCAGCTTCTGACTGATGGAGTCACCTCCCTGGCTGAGTGTCAAAATAGGTCAATGGAGCTTTCTTTTCACAATAGCTAGAAGTAAATGGAAACTTTGCTGTGCTCCAGCCTAGATCAGTAGGGAAAGAGACATTCTCCCTGACATGTAGCTTTTATATTTGTTACATGATACTCCGTGATATTGAATAACAGCTGGCAGGTTTTCAGCAAAAGAAAAGACTCTTGTCCCCGCAGATGGCACCACCCCTTGCATGCTCGCACCTCAAACCTTACAGCCCAGCGATGTAAAACATTGCAGCACCTCAAGGTTCAGCTCAGCCAAGCGTGGCAAGGTCAGTCAGCAGAGCAGGAGGAGGGCAGGGAAGGAGGGTGGGGGTGGAGACGGCAGCCTGACCATAACTCTAGCCACAAGGGCTCAGTTTCTAATGGCAACAATCTCAAAAGCTTCTCTGTGCACAGCTTCATAATTAAGTGTTAAATAAAAGTGCTGTTCTGTGAACACTGCATCCTCCCTTACAAATTCTGACTTCATCTTCAGACCTGGTAGTCTATTAAATAATTCAGTCTGAAAATTCCTAGCACTTAAGCAGAGACTGTAAAATTAAGACATAGTCTGGATCTCAACCCTGTTAAACACAGTGATTTCCTTCACCAAGTACAGCTTGTGATCACCATGTTCCTACTACTTGGAACCACATTTCAATGTTAATACATTGCTAGAACATTTTCTAAATGCATGTCTAGCTTCATTGTGGAAAGACAGACTTGATCAGAGTAATAGATTACAGACACGGGATGTGTGCACAGAAAGGTGTAAGTGGAACGAAGGTCAGAAAAGAAGTGTAACTTCTTTTTCAAACTTACAGCAGAGTTTTTCCCAAACATGAAATATAATCCTTTTAAAAACAGACTTTCAGTCACACAAAAAATCTGCAACAAAGCAAGACTACCAGCAAAAGTAGTATTTGAGTATTTTTAAAGGAAATGCAGAACTCATATCATAGTAGTGAACTATAAAGTAATGCCTCAAAACATCTAAATGAGAACATATTATTCATCAAAATGCTTTCATGATTACAATTAGCACAAACACATTCGTGATGCTTCCAAACATTAGTGGGAATGTTGATATGTTTACATCTGTGTAACAGAGATTTGTGTATTTTCCATGGAGCAAACTATTATTTTCCAAACAGTGTAGGAACAGGACAGCAGACATCACAAACAATGGTTGATCTACTGTCTGGTTTATAGCTATCACTATTTTTATGCTTTTAGAGAGAATTATATATAATCCACATTAGAGTGAGATTTTAACATTTAATGCGGGATTCCACCACATTACAGATGCTACAAAACTGTTCTGTGCATGCCCTGGACACACATATTTCAGTACAGGGTGGATTAGTGAGCTGAATGAGGTGTGGTTCAGAGAGTGGTTACGGCAGAGCTTACTTCTCCTATTTGAATTCCTCAGGTACAGGTGCACCCATGCTGCCCTACAGCACCGTATCTGGTTCCTCCGCTAACTGCTGAGTTTTTTCGGCTCTCCCTTTTCCTTTTGTGCCTATGTGTGTGCCTCTAGGTGTGGTGCTAATGAAGGGAGGAGGGGAGGAAGAAAAGAGGGTAGGGCTCCGTATGTCTTCCACGACCCTCATAAAGCTTCTCCAGAGCTAAAATAACGGTAATATTTTTCGTCTTGTTTTTGGGGAAAAGGACTAACATTAATTAAACAAGGCGGATTTTTTTTTCCATTCAGCGAGAGGCGTTCATTGGAGAGTTTTGGCTTCTAGCCACTGAAAGAGGGAAAAAAAAAAA